TGGAGTCCTCTGGGTTGGCAGGCTAGCGCTCTACCACTAGAGCCAATGCCACATGTACCTTAGAGGATGCATATTGTGTATATTAGCTATACACGCATACGCTCGAAAACAATAAACGTGACCTCGCAATCGGCAGAGCTGCCGAACTGCGAGGTGTCCGTCCGGCGCCTCGGATGAGAGAGAGAGAGAGAAAGAGAACACCGCACCAACCTTGCCCGGGTCGACTTAGATTTCCTGTCGCGTCCTCGTCCCCGCAGATCCCGCAAGTAGACACTCTTGAAAGAAAAGAAACAAAGACGACGGCTAGATGAAAGTCCCCTTTAACTCCGTGGATACTCTCTCGCCGATCTCGCTGTTCCGGTTGGTGTTGTTAATCGTGTACTTGTTGCTGTTCCCGTCTTCGTTGTTAATGGTGTCGTTGTTATGCTCCCGTTGTCGTTACTGTGTTTACTACTGTTGTTATCGTTGTTATTACTGTTGTGTTCACTACTGTTGTTATCGTTGTTATTACTGCTGTGTTTGCTACTGTTGTTATCGTTGTTATTACTGCTGTGTTCGTTAGTGCGTGGACGTGTTGGTGCGTTGTTGAGCCCCCTTGGACGTGACTGTGTGCGTGTATGTGTGTACGTGTGTCCGTGTGTATGTATCCGTGAGCGTGTCTCCGCGTGCGCCAGCGTTCCGCCTCACGCTGCAGACCGGTAACGGAACTCACTTCCAAGATGGCCACACGCGCGCACACTCCCGCGTCACCTCGCCCGTCGCCACGTGTACCGGTGCCGGTTCAGCTGCCTCCACAAACGATCTTCTTGAACACAATTTCCGCGCACCGGCCACGTGTCTCCAAACAAAAACGCAAATCGTCGGCGAGGGCGCGGGAACTCATAGATCAGAGAAAAAAATTGGTAGAAAAAAACCGTGTGCGCGCGGTGGGTCGTGCGGCAGCTCAGCAGGTACTGCTCGTTCCTTCCTCAAGCCAGCGAGATACGTGCGCAGGTCTGCCGACGCCTCGCTGGCTTGCGCTTATCTTCTGTCTCTCTCTCTCTCTCCTTCGCTGTGCTCTCTGCGTCGGCTCTCGCTCTCCCCAATTCGCTGCCGTCGCCGTTGCACCTCAAGAACAGAACAAAGAAAGAAACGGAGCAATGAGAGTGTGCTCAACTAGTGCACACTCCCAGCTCGTCAAAGCGCACCGGGAAATGGTGAGAGCCCGACGGAGAGCAACGGTCGAGCCGTGATTCTCCGTCACAAAATTTTTATATTTGTAACGGTTTTTTCTATAATCTTATAATGCCATTACTAGATTAATTATTTAAGATTTTTAAATTATAAAGCTATCATTATTATGTAAAAAATTAACGCTTTCGTTCTATATACAACTTAATGTTTAAATAAATCATGGATTATTTATTTATTAATAAAAGTTGTAATTAAACTGTTATTAATGAGACCAATTCTTACTCATGTTTTTAAGATATTCATTATGAATTTGGAGTATTCGCATTTTTCTAATAATTATTATTGATAGTGTAATAAACAAATTAACTTTGCATATTAAAATTCAATTTTATTTAATAATTAAATGCAATTAAAATTATTATAATCTAAATGTATGTACTTAAATCTATATAAAAAATGCTTTGTTTCATCAAAATTACTTTTAATTAACATATTTTATTCAAATAACAAAAACTATTATATCTATATCTATAAGTCTGTAATGTCACGCTCCTTATATGGTCATGAAATTAGACTCTTGTACTAAGACAATCAAATAGGTGAAGTGGCTCCGTTTAATATGCTAATTGATGTAAACAGATAGATGAGTTTAACGGGTTGCAGTGATTCAACGAAATAATAAACTAGCTCATAGGTAGGACCGTTACAATCTCGATTGTCTACATCATCATACGAATTTCCCCATCGGACGACTAGCATTATTAGAAAATATTGCAAGAAGGCTTAATAGCATGACAACATCTGCAGATGAATCAAACCTTCGAAATCTACTAAACGAAAACGTAGTAGAAAACATTACAGAATCGATAATACAGAAAACTTGGGGAAATTTTATGAAATTCGACAATATTTCAGCAGGAATCCTTATCATAATATTAGTTGTACAACGGGAAGAAGAAGTAAATCAAACTTCATTCTATAAATTATAAACCGTAGTACTAACATTTTATTAAATTGTAAACAAAAAAATTACAAACTTAAATAAAGAAAAAGAAAAACCAAATGAAGAAAAATCGTAATAAAATAATAAAATAATCGAGGCCTGCAATGGCTCGGTCGGTAGGGTGACAGACTTGCACCCCTTGGTAGGCTCGGGTTCGATTCCCAATCCCTGTTGATTGATACAAGCACCACTGAAAAAAGTTTCATTTGCTGTGTTCTCAAACACATTGCAAACCTCCGGCGTGATTAGCACTAATAGAGCATAAATAGAGCGACGTTAAACAAAATTAAAAAAAAAAACGTAATAAAAAAAAACAGTCTTTTGTGGACATGTTCCAGCCGGACGAACGCTCAGGGCGAAAGAATGTTCACGAAAAGGTGCTTAACTATTGAAAATCGGTATGGCTGTACGGTATTTAGTGGTGAGTTTCTCCAGCAGACTAGGACAACCAAAGATCACTCAGCGGTTACAATCTTGCTTATAGTGGAGCACCAGGTCGTCCGAAGTTCACGACACCACGGTTGTCATGCGCAAGCTGGTCATGAACAGAAGCACTAAAAGAGAAAAATGAGAGAGAGAGAGAGAGCTCATAGTGGGTTGATCGACTCTAGCTGCCATACCTTCTCTCCTGATGGACTCCAACGTCGGCGGTAATGAAGCAAGACGCTGACGGATGTACTGCAGAGGCCAGGAACAACCCGGCTCGCCAAACCTAACGCTAATGATACTAAATGAAATTGCAGAGCTCTGCAGCAATTCGCGACGCTAAAGCTAAGTCGCTGCTTCTGCTCTTGCCACCAGTAAGCCACCGAGCCGAATCTCTCCACTAAAACTGTATATTATCCTCTTCCTGTCCTTTTTTTGCATTTTATTCCGTATCGTTTTTCGTTTTCTGTTTTGACTCGAAATTGGAAAGAAATTGTAAAGAAAGAAGAGAAATATTAATATATTTTCTTAGCTCTTCCCTTTCCCCACCCCGAGCGAATCCTTACCCATAGTTACGCAGCTCATCCGTCTTGAGCTCCCTAAACCGCTAATTCACACCTTAAATCATATAAGCCGGATATTAGCAATGCGCTAACGCAATTACATGGATACCCGACTTAACGATAGCGCACACAGATAACGAGAGACGACAGGGACATCGCTACCAAGCGGTTTTCTCCATCAGACAATTATTACAATTAGTAATTACTATTTACTGTTTTGATATCACATTGTAATTCATTTAAGCTTTTTCCGAAAAAATCTTATAGAGCGCTTTTGACAAAAAAAATTTATGAAGTAAAAAAAAATCTTTTTTATGATAATTTATATGAGTAGCAAAAAGTCAATATAAAAAATGAATTTTAACACTGGCTAACAGTGTTTGTACATTTTAAATACATTTTTTAATTGATTTAAGAATATCGCTCATTGTTCATCATAACAAAGATATAATTGCAATTATTTCAGTTCCATCGAGAATATCTTACTCTGAATGTTTTCTCCAACATCGAAATACTCTAATGTATCTATAGACATACCTTGACAACTTAAAATTCTTAGTATGCAAACATTTATCAGTATGCCTAGCACATTCATACAGATAACATGTATTATTTTCATTGCAAGTTTACATTAATCAACTGACAAAAATGTTTCCTAAATATAATAAAAATTTGATCACACATGAAGATAATCGATATAAAATATGTTTATTGTTTTTGAAGAAATCAAAATTAATCTGTAAAATAGAAGGTACTATCTTAGGAAGAACAAATAAGTTTTGTTCTGACTACAATTCCAGTGATGAAAAATTACCAGCAGTTATTTGTACAAGCTCTGAATTATCGTTGCATTTTTTACATGCTGAAGAATCTAATAAAATGACTCTTCCAGATTATAGCGAATTTCATTACATTATAAGACCATCGCAAAAAAGGTCATAAAATCTGAAATATGATTTTTACGTGAAATCTAAAATTGGTGAGGGCACTAAGCGTAAATCAATTCAGTAAAAACAAAAATTTAAACAGAATCAAAAAAAAACAAAAAATAAATAAATGTGCACAATAATACAAATAATTCATAATTTATACAAATAATTGCTGGTAATTTTTCATCACTCGAATTGTAGTGAGAACAAAACTTATTTGTTCTTCCTAAGAGAGCACCTCTTATTTCACAGATTAATTTTGATTTCTTCAAATACAATAAACATATTTTATATAGATTATCTTCATGCTTATACAGTTTTTTTAATTATATTTAAGAAACATTTTCGTCAGTTTATTAATATAAACTTGCTTATGATAAGAATACATGTTATCTATAGGAACGTGCTAGGTCTACTGATGAGTGTTTACGTACTGAGAATTTGAAGTCATCAAGGTACGAAGGTGGGTCAATAAGTCCTTAGAAAATTCAAGAGATGGCGCTCACAGTATCTCAACTTATCTTGCACCAGCAAGCATCATTATTAAATAGAGTGCTGCCGAAGTTTGAGCCAGATCCATTGAATATTTTTGTTTTTATCGTCGATGAAAGTGAAAAACTTTTGATTTTGCAAATCTTGCAAAAAAATGTATTTTCTCTTTTTTTTTAGTCTTAAAACAATATTTCTTTTTTTTCTGCAAAATTCATGATATTTATTATGAAATAATAATGAATAAGTGAGATTAAAATTTGATCTAGATTTTAATCTTTTTGGCGTATCAGCTATGAAAAAAAAATTTTTTGAATAAAGTATAAAGAAAAATAAACATACTCTTTGTATACTGGAAAAAATAAATTAAATTTTGGGTGAAATATTGTCCACTGACAGGAATTTAAACAGACTTACTTTTTCATAGATTTTGCTACTTGGATAAACGTTGATACTAGATGTAGTCTGCCGTCTACTGTCCGTTTGACGAAAACTATATTCTATATGAGGAACGTTAAAACGTTTAGTTATGCTAGACACTATATCACGTGCCGGATACTGTTTTGGGCCAAAAATAGCGGCAACTCCATCTTCCAATAAGTCACACACTGAAGTTGATAGAAATAATATATAAATTTAATGATAAATTATACAGCAAGTTAAAAGAATTTCATTATGTAGGCATTCATAAAATTTTCCGTATGTATATTTCGTATATCAATGATCAACATAACAACTCAATGCAATATCTCACACTTTCAAAAGATATTGCATTGCAATATTATTTGAGGATGTGAATATAGATAAACTGATACTTTAACGCTAACTATTGCTCAATATAAACATTATGACTATAAGATTAGGATTTTAGACGACATATATAAAAGTTCTCAACAAAACTGCTCAGAGAACTACCAGAAATATAATAATACAACTATTAATTTTAAATTATAAGAAATATAATAATATAAGAGATATATAACTCAGAGAAATACTAATAATATACTCGTATATAGTGTAACGGGGGGTTTTGTCCGGCGTGCTAACAAAAATTTCACCCGTTAAAGAAAGGATGTTCCTTGCGTTACGAGGCTAACCGCCGCCTCGATCAGCTCGTTCGGACAGTCTCGATCTTCTGACCTTTCGCCCCAGAGCCCGTGAAAACTCACAAGTGGAGAACACGTGCGGCGATCCGGGTTGAAATAGATTATAAATAAGTCGTTATATTATTCACGTGAGAACTATATATTATAATAATAAATCTGGACTACCAAGTTTAGGACTTAACAAGAATAAATTATTCAAAATGTATCATCAATATCTTCGAAAAAATCTTATGTTGCTGAACGTTGCTACTTGCTCTACCTTCTTACGTCAAGGAACTCATGACAGAACTTAATGACTGCTCATGATTGAACTCCTTAATGACTGCTGGCCGCGGCTTACTCGACGTGCTCTCTCTCTCTCACTCCCTCTTGACTTACTTATTAGTCTGCGTGCGATAAAGAACACTAATTGGTCCTGCGTCGTACGCCTGCCTAAACCTGCCATTTTTTCTTTCACTGCTTCCTCAAGGTACTCAAGTTCGGGCTTGTTCGGCATCGCCCCGTAATCATTGATGGCTGAAGCAAAGGCCAGTAGTTAGGCGTATTTTCACTATGTGCCCAATGCTGGCCACTATACCTTGTCGAGAGCAGGGGGAATTGAGGAACAGCAGACGAAGAGCAAGCAAACTGCTTACCTCCGTCGCAAATGTTTTAACCCATTAACGTCACAAGGTTACTTTTATCAACTACATATTCTTTACTTTAAAAAATTTTACTATGAAAACATCACTCGAAAAGTTTAAGAATTGACTGTCTAACTATTTTCCGGATTGTTCTTTCTAAAGGTGTAGTCAGAATTATATAAAATTATCTTTTTTTTGCAATATTTTGGCAAAATAATATAAAATAAGCGAACTATTAAATCTGGTTTATTATTTCTTTTTACATTACAATGTCCTATAGTTATATTTTCAACTGTGAAATGGTGTAATCTTGTTGTACTTTTGATATTCTTTTTATAAGTCTGTTCTTACAAAATAATGGCACAAATAATTGAAAAATTTTTCGACTACTCACTTCTTTAAAATTCGTGAACAAAATATGCCTTTTTTATCAAACCTTCAAGCTCCATATAGCTACTGATAACACAATTGATATCAATTTTTCAAAACTATATTATTTAACCTATTAGTGCTGACGCGGATATTTTTTGACCCTCAATATTTTCGGGCGGATTAAAAAAAATAAGATCAAAACATAGCTCTGTTGGTAATTTTGATTGATCTATCGATTTCTGAGGTTAATATCACCCTAATATCTTTTCAAAAAGAGCCTGAGCAGTTTTAAAGGGGTATTTTTTACCCTTGAATATTTCAAGTATTTGTAGAATGAATTTTTTGTTGCAAACACGATAATATTTATGTATTGCAACGATTACCGAAAATCGTTCGACTCGCGCGAGGTTAGCTGAAAAAAATGATTTTTTATCAATTTATCGATGGTACCTACTCGAAAAAGATATGTAATTTTTTTGCAGTGGTGAAAAATAATGAGTATGAAGTTCCGAACGTACGAGTTGAACGAAAATTTCAAATTTCGAAATCAGCGTTCAACTCGATATTTATTGAATCAATATGGTACAATAACGATATATTAACTAGAAAAATTGTCCAATCTTAATTACAACCCTTTAAAACTACTCTTAATTATTATGCAACTGTCTCTCCCATACCTACCTATACAGCAAGTCATTACACAAATATTAATGAGCAAGCGATTAGGTACGTCATCTATTATAGTGTTGCGAAAAACTACAAATAGTTTGAATGTTCGGAAACTACCCTCAGTCACCCCTATGAGGTAAAGTAGCCTCTCAGGCGAAAAATTGAGTATTTCGCCCACAATTTCTTTTTACACGAATATTATACTCAAATACATGATTGGCAGTAATTATTATATCCTATAGTATAAGTATAAAAAAGACGAGAGTGCGGAACTACCTCAAGCCACCCCTACGTCCATTTGAACATAGCCGCGCGAGTGAAATTTTCAGTTATACGTGCATAATTTGTTATTAAACACTTTTATTTTAACAATTGATTTTTCTCGTTGCGTATTGTGTCACTGGCAATCAGTGGATGCAATGCGCGCTTGCGAAACTACCCCTAGCCACCCCTAAGTCCATTTGAACATAGCCGCGGGAGTGAAATTTTCAGTTATACGTGCATAATTTGTTATTAAACACTTTTATTTTTACAATTGATTTTTCTCGTTGCGTATTGTGTCACTGGCAATTAGTGGATGCAATGCGCGCTTGCGGAACTACCTCTAGCCACCCCTACGTCCATTTGAACATAGCCGCGCGAGTGAAATTTTCAGTTATACGTGCATAATTTGTTATTAAACACTTTTATTTTTACAATTGATTTTTCTCGTTGCGTATTGTGTCACTGGCAATCAGTGGATGCAATGCGCGCTTGCGGAATCATCCCCAGCCACCCCTACGTCCATTTGAACATAGCCGCGCGAGTGAAATTTTTAGTTATACATGCATAATTTGTTATTAAACACTTTTATTTTTACAATTGATTTTTCTCGTTGCGTATTGTGTCACTGGCAATCAGTGGATGCAATGCGCGCTTGCGGAATCATCCCTAGCCACCCCTACGTCCATTTGAACATAGCAGCGCGAATGAAATTTTCAGTTATACGTGCATAATTTGTTATTAAACACTTTTATTTTTACAATTGATTTTTCTCGTTGCGTATTGTGTCACTGGCAATTAGTGGATGCAATGCGCGCTTGCGGAACTACCTCTAGCCACCCCTACGTCCATTTGAACATAGCCGCGCGAGTGAAATTTTCAGTTATACGTGCATAATTTGTTATTAAACACTTTTATTTTTACAATTGATTTTTCTCGTTGCGTATTGTGTCACTGGCAATCAGTGGATGCAATGCGCGCTTGCGGAATCATCCCCAGCCACCCCTACGTCCATTTGAACATAGCAGCGCGAATGAAATTTTCAGTTATACGTGCATAATTTGTTATTAAACACTTTTATTTTTACAATTGATTTTTCTCGTTGCGTATTGTGTCACTGGCAATCAGTGGATGCAATGCGCGCTTGCGGAATTATCCCCAGCCACCCCTACGTTCATTTGAACATAGCCGCGCGAGTGAAATTTTCAGTTATACGTGCATAATTTGTTATTAAACACTTTTATTTTTACAATTGATTTTTCTCGTTGCGTATTGTGTCACTGGCAATCAGTGGATGCAATGCGCGCTTGCGCAATCATCCCTAGCCACCCCTACGTCCATTTGAACATAGCAGCGCGAATGAAATTTTCAGTTATACGTGCATAATTTGTTATTAAACACTTTTATTTTTACAATTGATTTTTCTCGTTGCGTATTGTGTCACTGGCAATCAGTGGATGCAATGCGCGCTTGCGGAATCATCCCCAGCCACCCCTACGTCCATTTGAACATAGCCGCGCGAGTGAAATTTTCAGTTATACGTGCATAATTTGTTATTAAACACTTTTATTTTTACAATTGATTTTTCTCGTTGCGTATTGTGTCACTGGCAATTAGTGGATGCAATGCGCGCTTGCGGAATCATCCCCAGCCACCTTTACGTCCATTTGAACATAGCCGCGCGAGTGAAATTTTCAGTTATACGTGCATAATTTGTTATTAAACACTTTTATTTTTACAATTGATTTTTCTCGTTGCGTATTGTGTCACTGGCAATCAGTGGATGCAATGCGCGCTTGCGGAATCATCCCCAGCCACCCCTACGTCCATTTGAACATAGCCGCGCGAGTGAAATTTTTAGTTATACATGCATAATTTGTTATTAAACACTTTTATTTTTACAATTGATTTTTCTCGTTGCGTATTGTGTCACTGGCAATTAGTGGATGCAATGCGCGCTTGCGGAACTACCTCTAGCCACCCCTACGTCCATTTGAACATAGCCGCGCGAGTGAAATTTTCAGTTATACGTGCATAATTTGTTATTAAACACTTTTATTTTTACAATTGATTTTTCTCGTTGCGTATTGTGTCACTGGCAATCAGTGCATGCAATGCGCGCTTGCGGAATCATCCCCAGCCACCCCTACGTCCATTTGAACATAGCCGCGCGAGTGAAATTTTCAGTTATACGTGCATAATTTGTTATTAAACACTTTTATTTTTACAATTGATTTTTCTCGTTGCGTATTGTGTCACTGGCAATCAGTGGATGCAATGCGCGCTTGCGGAATCATCCCTAGCCACCTTTACGTCCATTTGAACATAGCCGCGCGAGTGAAATTTTCAGTTATACGTGCATAATTTGTTATTAAACACTTTTATTTTTACAATTGATTTTTCTCGTTGCGTATTGTGTCACTGGCAATCAGTGGATGCAATGCGCGCTTGCGGAATCATCCCCAGCCACCCCTACGTCCATTTGAACATAGCCGCGCGAGTGAAATTTTTAGTTATACATGCATAATTTGTTATTAAACACTTTTATTTTTACAATTGATTTTTCTCGTTGCGTAT